TTTCGGGACTGGCACAAAGGAAAATAACTGCAAAGGCATCATCGCTATAACAGCATCTTCGATGAATTCAGAATACACATTCAGTACTGACGTCAACATCATGAAAATTTTGGTAAACAATCTACCGAACAGATCATTTGACAAACCGACATGGAAACATCTTGAAGGCATACAGCTTGCCAATCCAGACTTTAATATCAGCCGTCCTATAGACAAATTACTGGGTGCGAACATCTACTCGAATATCATCTTGAGTGGAATCATCCGAGAAGATGTAAATCAACCGATTGTTCAGCAATCACGACTCGTTTGGATCATCTGCGGCAACCTGAAATCTTATCAATGTAACGTTGTTCTGCACGATTTACAAGATATTCAGAGATTTTGGACAATCGAAGACAAAGCAGACTACAAAATAACAATATCATCAGAAGATCAATACTGTGGAGCATTATAACAACACAACAACACGTCAAAAAGACGGTCGTTATGTTGTACGTCTGCCTATGAAACCAGACTTCGAAGAAAAGCTGGGTGATACGAAGCAAAATGCCGTGGCACAACTATATCAGCCGGTAAGAAAATTCGCCAAAAACGAAAACCTCGCAGCAATGTATAAAAACTTTATGCGCGAATATATTGAATTAGAACATATGTACTTGTAACAGTAACACGATCTCGGCACCGAGTTGCTACCTGCCACATCATTGTGTGCGGCGCGCCGAATCACTTATAACTTCAATACGCGTCGTATTTAACGCGTCATCAAAGACGTCATCCGGCTTCAGCCTTAACGACTTAATGTACAGCGGACCTAATTTGCAAGCAGATTTACTAACATTGATTATAAGTTGGAGATAGTATAAAGTCGCTTTCACTGCAGATATCGAAAAAATGTTTCGAGCGATCCTTTGCAATGATAACGACAAACATCTACAAAGAATCATATGGCGTGTATCATCAAATCACCCACTTCAAGAATACGACCTATTAACAGTGACGTACGAGACGAAAGCAGCGCCATTTGCGCTGAAGCAATTAGCTCGCAACGAAGTGCAGCATTTCCCTGCAGCAGCTAAGGTGTTGAAGAGAGACTTTTCATGGACGATGTCTTAAGCAGCCAGCACAGCATCCCAGCTGCTCTAAAATTAAAAGCAGATCTGATTAACCTACTCAGAGCAGCAGGGACAGGGGAGCAGGGGGGCCTAATCTATGAAAGTGGTGCTCAAACAGCAATGAGTTACTTCAATGAGCAGGATCAGACACAGATGGCAATCATCACACTGAGTTTGATTTCAAGCAGAAAGAATCAACAAAGACGTTGGGACTGCGCTGGAACACTCAGAAGGACGTCTTCATTTTTGAGCTCCAAGTCAACAGACAAACCAGCCTCAAAAAGATCAGACATCTCAAAGGTTTTTGACCCGGCTGGCTGGCTCTGTCCTATAAAAACGAGATTGAAACTCCTATTGCAATCAGTCGGTAAAGAAGACTTGACTCAAGTGGGATGACCAACTTCCACTAAGCATTGAAGAAAAGTGGTCAAAGATTAAACATGACCTCGAAGGCATCAATCAAATCAAGTATCAAGGTGGCTTCAAAGTCATGAGAAGAGAGTCTTGATCAAATGTTAAATTTTTTTAATGTAAATAATTTACTTCATAAAAATCAATTCAGTTTCACGAGGGGTCGCTCGACAACTGATGCTGGTGTTGAGCTTATTAAATATATCTTTAATGCATGGGAGAGTTCACAGGATATTTTGGGTATATTCTGTGACCTGTCCAAGGCCTTCGATTGTGTTCACCATGAAACATTAATCAGGAATGCTACGGTACTTCAACACTACGGTGTAAGAAGTGATGCTCTTAAATTAATTATTTCATATTTAAGTGACAGAACGCAACAAGTTGTCATTAATAGTGTGAGTTCTTCCGGGTCGACTGTACAAATGGGTGTGCCTCAGGGCTCAATTCTCGGCCCCTTTCTGTTTCTTGTATATATTAATGACTTACCTTACATAGTAGGGGATAACCATAGATACTTCATTAATTTTCAAATTAAAACGACAATTATTAAATTACGACGAAGTAAATAATGCTATAGCTAAGTTCGTCAATTGGTTTAATGTTAATAATTTGCATTTAAATGGTACTAAAACTAAATGTATGAAATTCGTAACTCCTAATGTCAAACATGTTAATACGAATGTAATTTTAAATGGGGAAGAACTGAGTCTTGTTGATACCACCATTTTTCTTCGTTTCACTTTCATTTTCGAATCACACTAGACGCAAAGCTTCAATGGTTCCCCCATATATCAAAACTAGCTAGCAGGCTTATTTCTGCAGCATATGCTGTAAAAAAGATTAGAACTCTTACCAGTGTTGAAACAGCTAGAATAGTTTACTTTAGTTATTTCCATAGCATCATGCCGTATGGTATTTTGCTATGGGGACACGCGACTGTAATTATATTTATTTTACAGAAGAGAGCCATTAGATCAATATGTAATTTAAAACCAAGAGTCACTGCGACAAAAATTTAAGGAAATTAATATATTAACTATGGCCTCTCAATACATTTATGAAAATGTAACGTACGTACACAAGAATAAACATAGTTTCGCAAAAATAAGTGATATTCATTCTGTAAATACTAGGAACAGACACAAGCTAGTAGTACCAGTTACTCGACTCCACCGAGTCAGTAATTCATTCTTGGGGCGATGCATACGCGTTTACAACAAAATCCCGGAAAATATACAAAATTTGTCATACGCAAAGTTCAAAAATTTTATTAAACTAAGTTTGTATAAAAAGGGTTATTATAATATTAAGGAATTTATGGATGATATTAACCCCTAGGAGGGGTGATCGCTGCCAAGCTGTTTCTAATTTGTCTTGTGTTGTTAATTGTAAACATAATTGTAAGCTATTATTTGAAAAAAAAAATACGAACCAGTGGTAAATGAAAAAATTGACTTTCAATGAGTATTGTTTATAATCTATATTGAATAAAAAGTTTCTGTTTCTGTTTCTATATCAATTTCGACCTTGCAAAGATAGACATACCTCCAATCAATGATGTCATCAACCTTTCAATTTCTCTCCAAAGGCTCGAAAAATTGCCACTCGTTCCATGTCTAGTATTAGTGTTTTTATCTCTAGGTGTAAACACAACGTGTAAAGTACCCATAGCCAACTTTTTGAAAAAATTTTAATCAAAATCTGGGTTTGATCAGTCTTTCAAAAGCTGCCCATAATTATATTTACTAATAAAATCTTAATTTTATATTACACAAAAAACCCTTCACTGCTGACCGTGTGAGGAAGTTCGAAGTCGCTTAGCGAGCTAAAGAGACAGCTATGCTTGGGGTTTTCTGCATAATAAACATAATAGAGATAAGGACATTCATAGTAGAACCAGAGAGACCGACATAGCCCAACGGATTAGTAAGCTGAAGTGGCAAAATATATTTCGAAGAACCGACAACCGATGGGGAAAAAAGGTTCTCGGGTGGCAGCCTCGTACCGGTAGGTTAAATGCAGGGCTACCCCCCAATAGATGCGAGTGACGACCTGGTAAGACATGCAAGAAGTCGATATATGCAGGAGCATCAGAACTGTGCTTTGTGGCACCCCTTGAGGGAGGTCTATGTTCAATACCGGACTTGTGAAGGGCTGTAGGTAATGAATGAAAAAATACTGAAAATCACGCTGAACTTATGCGGACTATGATGGTTTGTTTACCGATAAAAATATACAGTTACATAGACATAGTTTTCGCCTTTATGCCTTTTGCATTTGTAGTGAAGTATACAGTAGTGTTTTTTTACGCCTCCCAGATATTGACATACTTTTGTTTAGGAATTACGCGCATGACCTTTCCTGTTGGTTGAATACTCGGTCTAAAATAAATATCGATACATCGCGATTAAAAATATTGACAATATATACGATGTATCGATATTTTTTACCCAAGCATAATCTGCCTGTCCTACTGCAATTTAATATAATTGAGTTTTGGCGATAACTTGGCTGTCGACGGGTTTTTGCTCCTGTTTTATCGCTTAAATAATTGTTTGAAGTGGATTTTGATTCGTAAAAGTGATGCGATTTTTTAAATTAAGTGTCTGTGCGTGTAAAACGAGTGCTTTGTGTTGATCAAATTATTTTGATTGCCTTGAGGTTTATCAAGTTATTTTGATCGCTTAGGCGCTTTATGAACTTGAGTGACCATCGTCATCAACTATGCGCTGGGTTGAGCTGTCGTCTAAATCTTTTAAAAAACTTCACAATGTAGAAATTAGAAATGATAGGAGCAGAAGGGTCCCTTTAACCCAGAGCCGGAGAGCCAGTTAAATAAAAAAAATATATTGCGTAGACAGAGAAACCTATAGAGCGTAGACAGAGAATCCTATCCATTCCTAGCATTCTCTGTGTATTGAAAAGTATGTCTATGCTATAGAGTATGGACTAATGATTAGTGTGGCGTCGAGTGCGAAAGGGCGATTACGTAGTTTTAGGTTATACAATAATCTTTATGACTTAAGGCCTCTGCCCACTAAACCGTATCATACCATGACCGTGCTAGGAACGTGTCAGGCAAATAAATATTATTTGTATTGAAAAGTATGACACTGTTCCCACTAGACCGTTCCGTCACCGACCAACACCGTCGCGTGCCATGCACGGAGCGTCAACAAATGTCGGCGCGAATATTTTGCCGGTGCTGACATGCTCTGTGCATGACACGCGACGTTGCCAAGCCGCTGCGCGCAGGCGGCGAGTCGGCGAGTATACGGGTTGTAAACGCGTATGACGACCGTTATATAGGCGTTGTTAGCGCGTTGCCGTAACTTAGTCATTTGTTGTCAGTTTAACGAGACGTAAAGACGTTGTAAAATGGAGGATGAAAAATTAATAGAATGTGTACGTAAATATGAGTTTTTATATAATCTACACCACCCGAAATATATGAATAGTGTGAAAAAAGAAATGGCTTGGAAGGAAATTTCGGAACAACTCAAACAAGCAGGTTTGTTTATAAAATTATTGTTTATTTGAAGTAATTTAATACATGGGTTAGTTAACCCATTTGTTAGTTTATTTTTTTAGATAGATAGTAGTTAAGGCATTTTATTTTAGTATAGTCTAGTTTATAAAATGTAATATTAAGATTGTAGTAAAAAATAATATTCTGTATTATATGGGTGTCCAACCCAATTTACGGATTTCTTTCAAACGTCTTAAGCGTTTGAAAGAAATCCGTAAATTGTTGACGTACTTCAAAAGCAGTAGAAACTGCATTCCCTCCTTGGTGTCTTAGATTGTTAAACTGTACAGGAGTATTTGTTTCCGTATAAATTACAGTTTCTCCGTGTCTAATGAAATTGTATAAAATGCACGTTGTTAGTACAATTTTTTCCGCAAATTCTGGCCTCAAATGCAAACGTCTATTATAAATTCGAAATGTTTGACTTAAAATAACAACAGTATTTTCCACTACATGTCGTGCTCGACAAATGCGATAATTAAAGTGGCGTTTCTTGTCATCGTTAATTGACTGTTGTGATGGATAAGGCCTTAGGAGATTATTTTTTAAAGGAAAAGCTTCATCTCCTAGTATAACGCATGGTGCACTAACATTACTCCCCGGAAAAAATTTGGTACTTGGAATATTAAACTTATTTTCGAATATAGCTTTGCCCGTTTTTGATTTTGACAAAATACCTTCATCACTATCTTTGCCGAAAGCACCGACGTTTGCGGCTATGAAGTTATAATTAGCATCAACTAAGCATTAAATAAGAAAAAGGGCAAAAGTGGACAGGCAGCTAAGAACATTAAGAAATGGAAGTACGAGGAAGAAATGTCGTTTGTTGCTTCGTTTTTTGCTGAAAAAAAAAACCTTTAGAGTCTGTTGAGCTGACAAGCGACGATGAAGGGTCTCAGAACAAAGATGCCGAAACTGAAGTTCAGAACCCTAAGTCAATCAATGAGATTAACAATACTGATGCTGTGGATGTGACTGCTCCTCACGATACTGAAATTCGAAACGAAGATAACACTATTATCCACAATAAATCCACACAACCAAAATCACAACACAGTCAAGCAAAAAACGCAAAGGGAATAAAAAGCGCTAAAAATCTACCATTATCAGCATCTGCTGTGTTGATGTCTAGATTATTAGACCAACAAGGAAGTATTCCACAACAACGTGAACACGATGAACTAGATCGTTTATTTTTGAATATATCAGAAACAGTAAAAAAGTTTTCACCTTACCTACAAGCAATAGTAAAACATAAAATATTCAGTTTAGTTTCTGAAATGGAGTTACAGCAGCTCGCACCACCTAGGTTTATTACAACTTCATCTCAATATGGAAATACTCTCCACCTCCAGCATCGACTTCTTCATACGTTCAAGCGAGAGACACACACACCTATGCCTACGTCTCCTGAGACTTGGGATACGTCTATGACTAACGATTGGAATCAGTCTGGAAATGTTCTTGAATAGGTTGAGGTACATATATCATGAGTACACATTCTGAATATTTGAATTTAAATAAAAGTTTGATTTAAAATATATTGAACAAATTGTATTACTTACCGTAAACACACGGCAAGCTTTTCTTTAGATGACAGACATTCTCAAAAGTTTGTATTTTTTTCTGCCAATATAATTTTCAATTTTTTTTCAGCAAAAACATTAAATTGGAATGTAGACATTCGGAAATACTGAAAAAACTTTTATTCATCCTCAACTAAGTGTCTGAATAATGTCCAATACTCTCCTTCGGTTTTTCGTTCTTTTATAGAATCGTGAATCCAGTAGCGCCGAGTGTTTTTTTTGTTTTCTTCTTCTTCTTCCTCATCCAATATTAAAGCAATCATCGCCAGTTGTCTAACAGTTAATTTTCTGATAGCTATAACTATTTTACAGTTTAAAAATTTGGTAGCACTCCAAGACGTCCACGCAACACTGTTACGCATGCGAGAATGAAACGGATTCCTATTGGTTTTGGTGGATGTTGCATACGGGCATCATACGGGTTACGTACGGGTTGCATACTGGCATCATACGGGATGTATACGGGCACAGAACGCCGTCGATCCATTCAGTGGGCATAGTAGAGCGTATCGTGTTGCTTTTCGTGCCTGATACGCTCCTAGCACGGTCATAGTATGATACGGTGTAGTGGGCAGAGACCTTTATAAACATATTTAGATAAAAAATTTAATTGTTCTAAGAACTGAACTGATCAAGATTCACCAATCTTAAGTTCACAAAACACTTTTTTCTCACTTAAACCAACTTGTAAACTCCTTAGATCACTACGAAGTCTTGTTAGCAAAGTGTAGTTTGCTAAACAAAAAAACCGGCACGGAGAAAGGGACAAACAATCACACTGCTCTGTCTCATTTCTCTGTCTACGTATTATTGAATTCGTAGACAGGAATAGACAGAGAAGAAAACGGTCTATAGGATTCTCTGTCTACGGGTCTACGGAAGAAACGTAGACAGAGAAACCTATAGACAAATTGACGCCTTCTTTCGCATTCGCACACGAAAAAGATAGATTTATGCATACGTCTTGCATAGAAATGAGACAGAGCGGTGTGATTATTTATCTTTCTCCGTGCCGATTTTTTTGTTTAGCGAACTACAGTTAGTTCATTCTGCGTAGATCGGATCAAAGACAATAAAAAATAAAAATATAAATTTCTTTGCAACCTTCCGCTAAATAAATTCAATGATGTGTCTTATCTGGATTGAAGAGCACCTCCCGCCCTCCCTCAATTGCATGCACTAACTCTGTCACCACTAGTCCCAGCACCACTACTCGCAACACCACTATTTCAGGTAAGACACACCATCGACGACAATACGACACGTGTTTCGCCTCTACACGAGGCATCTTCAGGTAATGTAGACTACGGCGGCTGACCGCTAAGAGTCCGCTTAGCGGGTGCTGGAAAGCACCCGAAACGTCGGGTATTAAAAATAATATAAATAAAACGCGATAAAATCCGTAAAAGTAGTTTTAATCAAAGAAAAAAAGTGTTATGTGAGCTTAAGATAGATGAATCTTGTTCAGTTCGGTTCTTAGAACAATTAAAAATTTTATCTTAATCCTATACTAATAAACGAGCAATTCTTGTGTATATATATATAATCGGGATCTCGGAAACGGCTCCAACGATTTTCATAAAATTTAGTGTCCAGGGAGTTTCGGGGATAAAAAATCGATCTAGCTAGGATTTATTTTTAGAAAATGTCTTTTTGTCCGTGTTTTTAGACAATGAAAAACTGCTACAATATCGTTAGAATAAGAAGGTAAATTTTGACAGATTGTTAATGATTATATATAGCTTAATTGGTATAATGGGCGGTCACAGAATCGTAAAACCCCGGTTCGAGCCCAAAGCGACCGACCGACTTTTTTAAACTTTTTTTTCAAGTTCCTTCCTTTTTTTGAGAAAATCTATTTTTCCGAGCCCTTTTTTAGCATTTTTTAAAAACACGAAAATTTAAATTAAAATAATTGCACTCATGATTTTTTATTCAAATAACCAGTTCCGTTTTTTCTGTTATGTCGCTAAGATCAAAAAATATTATTTATATTTCATCAGTATGTAATTTGATTAAAACTACTTTTACAGATTTTAACGCGTTTATTTTTGCTTTTAATTACTTTTATTTTTAATTCCCGACGTTTCGGGCGCTTTCCAGCACCCATGGTCACGGGGAACTGATGAGTTGAGTATGTAATTTGTATCTAAATATAATTTCCAAAACACACGAATTAAAAAAAAATCGAGCGAAAAATACCGAGCAAAGCTCGGTTAACCAGGTACTAATATGTTTAAAGGTCATAAGATTATTGTATAACCTAAAACTACGTTATCTTCCTTTCTCCCTCTAGGGCCACGCTAATCATTAGTCTATAGGTTTCTCTGTCTACGGGAAGAAAACTTAATATTTTATTGAACACAGATCACAGAGTACTTTGTATAAAACACAGATCACCACAGAGTACTTTTTTGCAGATCACTTTTAAAGTTGTCTTTGTCTGCGAAAGAGAATTGATTTTGATTTGCAAGCGTGTACTCACAGAGTACTTTTTTATATATAGGAACTACGTGCGTGATGCATGTACTGTATCAGTTACCATTCAGTTACTCAGTTACACAGCTCAGTTACTTTGTGATTATATTAAAAGCAATAGGAAACAGGGATGGCTTTTAGTGATAACAATGCATTAGTAGTAGCCGTAATAATAATGCATTTCTGCATAATCCCGTTGGTAGTACGCCATAATAATAATGCACAATATCAAAGTCCAGTAAACGTGCCGAGTTGTTGTTCCAGGGTATTAAAATGTCCAATTCAGTATGCAATCAAAGTCCAAAACACAAGCAAGTACACAAAATCCAATAATACACAGTAACGTACGTACAAGCGAGCGCAAGAGTAGGCGATAAACGTCTGACGACTCTGAGGATGACAAAGAAAAAAGCGCGTTCTTAGAGAGAGTAACGTGGCCATGCTTTTGTCATTACTATTGTTGTCTTTTTTCAACACTACTTGTTCCTTGCACCATTTACCTGCGTCCGACACCTCATCTCATTTATTACCTAAATTGTGCTTGCAATAAAAATTTTATGTAAATACGTTATTTTAAATATTTTTATCTAACATTCATAATTATTCACCATATTAATCGGTCGGTCGATGATGTGAGAAAAGTCATTTTAAATGCATGAAATAAATTTCACTATTTTCGACTGTATCAACTTTAAACTCCGTTTTCGCACAAAAATGCCCTATAAAGTACCAACTATACTTTGAGAGCTAAAAAGGCATAAAGTTTTTGAAATTATCAGGAAGTTATTCAGTCAGGGTTAAGTAATTTTTTCAAGTTGAAATCAAATAGAAATATCTCTCAAGCAGAAATTTTAATTTTGTGAGCTAAATCCGAGCTACTAGTAATTAGAATTTTGGTGTTTAGTGTTTTACAGACGAACACACATGCTAAAGTCCAGTCGCGGAGCAGAAAGAATTTCGTACAATGACCTCTTTGCCTACTGACAGTGGTCACAAACATTTTTGTGTCAAGTGTAATTTTTATGAAATATTTGAAGGAGAAAAAAATAAATTTATTATCGTATTAAATAAATTATTGGTATTACTTAAATTATTTATTTTGATTTTAGTATAAAAGCAGTTGATTAAAACTACTTTTACGGATTTTATCGCGTTTAACTTTAAATGATTTTTAATTTCCCATGTTTCGGGTGCCTACCAGCCACCCATGGTCACGGGGGATAAAACGATTATTTTAAATATATCAGTATCGGAGTTTTATATATGAGTTATTTATAGATACATCGAAAATCCTATATTTAAAAAATATCAATAGTCGTAGTTTAAGCTGATCAGTTAGAATGATTAGTTGAACTGACCGTGTGTGTCGTCCATTACAATTACTAATTTGGCAGAAATAAAGAAAATGAAAATTCAAAAATCAGAATCCTATTTCTTTGTATCGGAGTTACTACTTTCCAATGACGTTCCGTCTGTCACATATATTTCAAAAGACTCAACAATTTTGTCTACGTTAAACTTAACGAAACCACTTAACATTTAAAACAAGATAACTAAAATTAACAAACAACAACAAACTAATAATTGATAACAGAGATAACTGTGTCCGAAAACTGAGCGATCACTATCGCATCCCAAAATGGAATGTCGTTGTTCGTTATTTATAAGTTATTAATTATGTCAAGCAAACCAAGGATTTTTGGTCGTGCCTCAAGGCCAACCAAATACCACGTGCAAACAAACCTTACAGTCTCAGGTAAAAGGTTTATAATCCATGATGACGGCGATCATTGCATCCGTGCGAGCGAGATGCATTATACTTACGCGGGAGTAACAGAGACAGGTAATAACAGTTCAACTTACGAAATTCTACCTGCTTCGCGTCCGGACTATAGCTATAATAAAATAAATCTCTAAGAATTACTTCACAGAAAAAGTTATAGCTAAAACCGTCTAAAATAAAAAATAAAAACTGAAAATATAAAAAAATTCATGTCTCGAAAACTACAAAAAATCGCGGAACATACATTGGTCCAATAGATAATTGGTGTCCCCAGACCACAGACCTTTGCTGGTACAGGTTTCTTGGGACATCCTGTATAAAACATATATTCAACTTATTTTGGAGTACATGATTAAAACTACTTTTACGGATTTTATCGCGTTTATTTTTACTTTTTATTTACTTTTATTTTTAATTCCCGACGTTTCGGGCGCTTTCCAGCACCCATGGTCACGGGGGGACTGAGATGACTGACGTCCCGATGTCATTGTTAAACCCGGAGTACCTTCAGCTTTGTTAATTATTGTTTATGGTCCGATCTATGCAAAATGAACTGACTATGTCTTGAGGTCTTGCAGTGGTATGCTCGGGTTTAGTTTTAATTTTATTGATTATAGGATCCCAA